GCAAATGAAAAGGATTATGACACTGTGATCAAGTAAATGTAGCACTGTGACAACAAATAGGAAGTGGGTTCTGGTGGAGAATTCTGGGTAAAGTGAGCGCAGGGTTTAGGAAAATATTTTCTACTTGCGCTTTCCATCTTTTTCAATACTTACTCCATTGAATCATCATTTTCCATTTTTTTTCTTGCTGTACAGCACAAAAAACGGCTGCCAGGGCACAAGAAATGGCTGCCAGGGTACTTGTATGGGAAGAGGAGGGAGTATTTCTTGGTCAGATAAAACCTGGGTGGTTGGTATGAATGCAGCAATTCTGAAATGTGAGTAGAAAAACACAGGCATACATACAATTGGTCCTATTCACTTCAGAGTGCTAAGTTTAAGTGTAAATTCCTAAGTGCCAGAACTGATATCAACCTATCAGAATTTACTCTGCTGAAGTCAGATAAGTACAAGATGGACTCTGATTGGTTGATATGAGTTATTGCACTTATAAATAGTGCTTGAAGCAACCCTGTTAGAGGGTTAACAAATCTACCGTGTAATATCCAAGGAAAGAGGCAGGTGTAAACTTACCCAACCAGATAAGTAAGCTTTGTTTCCTTGTAGAGCTCTGTATGCTGATGCCATCTGACACCTCTAGTGTGTAGAATAGTGTGACCTGCTGGCTGCTTTGATTCTTCTTGCCAACTCCTAAGCACTGCAGGACATCGTAGTAACATAGGGTTCAGCAGCAGAACCCTGCTTTTTTCACAGCGTATTGCAGTTTTGTTTTATTTGTACCCTCTGAAAGGGTAGCTTTAAAAAAAGAGAACGGTTTACTGATGTAAACGTGATGTTTTACACTACAGAAAATGACATACACATATCTTATCACACGGTGATCATGTAAATTTAAAAAAAGCCTTAAAGAAGTTAAAAATAAATACGCACAGATATAGGCAACTGTTCAAAAGCAAATAGAACATTTATTGTTACAAAACACTGGCCAAGTAAGGATTATTTGTAAGGATTCTGTGTTGAACATTAAACTTCTTTAACATTAAAATATCCATGTTATTACACAACAGAGCAGTACATTCAAATACACTCATTGATAGTTTTCAAGTCCTGAAGAAGTGTTTTCTGCGCATGGTAATAATTAGAATGCCATCAGCATTCTAGTTCTATTGCCGAGTATTACCCCAGAACAGTATATTCATCTTCTTAATGCTATGTACACACTGGTGTTTAGAATGCTGTACCTCTCTTGTCAGAGTGCAGCATGGTGGACAGATGTCATTATAGAGGTCTCTACAGGGAACACAACGTTTTCATATAACTTCTTCTAGCTCTTTTTAGTTCTATTCAGCATGCCAGATATAAAAATGAGCACAAATGTTCTCTGCATAGATCACTGATCTGCTGACATGTAGTCACCAAACTGTAAGCACAGATACTTTAGGGAAAAGAAACTACATTAAACACATAGGACTTCATAATCCAAAAATGTAGTGATACAATAACTTCGACCTTTTCTTAGCATTTTTCATGTTTTTTCCAACTGCCTTTAGACAAGTACAACCAAGCTTATATAGTAAGTCAATACAAAGCGCAAAGATGATGCAAAGTGCCACTACAAATAGCAGCCAAATGTATTTTAATGCAAACCTGAGGGCACAAGACAGTAGAGTTTCACTTAAAGATTCTGGAATATTCTGGGGAACAGACACATGCAGGTTCCTGTATTTACCTAATATAATGTCAGTGCCACCTCACTATTTTGTTCCCACAGGTATAATAAAACATGATTGCTTTTCGGTAAGCACTCTTTGATGTCTGACTTACTGAATAAGGCCTTAATGCCAAACAATAAAGGCTTACAAGAAAAGGCAAAAATAAAAAAACAAAAACAAACTGATAAAATTTTTTGCAACTTACAGAAACTATGTAATGCAACAACAAAAACTTCTGCATGTAGAAACATGAGGCAGTCTCCAAAACCCCCTGAATACCTGGTCCTTCTGACAGGCAAAGAATTTTATTGTTTATCCGATTAATCGAACTTAATAATCGGCTAACTAATCGATTTTGAAAATAATCGTTAGCTGCAGCTCTAGCTCTGATACTTCCAGGCAGTTTTGGAGCTTGCTGCCTAGCCCACCCCACACATTCCTGTTGGCCTATCAGTATGATGGGCTGCCTCATTTGCCAATAGGAATGTACATAAGACAGGAAGAAAAGGAGAAGATCTGACATCATTAGGAAGTGTCAAAGCTATTCCTGTCAGAACGGTCTAGTCTTCAGCTGTAAGAGCAGACATTTTCACGACTGATTCTCTTAAAATCTCAGACCTGCCATTACCGTAAGGCCAGACATTTTTACAGTATCTTGATACTTTATGCAGTAAAATGCAAGGCCTGCTCATTAGATCTGGCCCCCCTCCCTCTGTAAAATCACTGCAATTATAATATTTGAAAAATGACCTGCAAGGAAATAGTTAGATTATATACTGAATTTACCTTAACCCCGTCTTCTGCCTGTGGTGTCTAGGCTAGGGTGGCATCACGCTCCTTCTGGCAAGATTCTGGGAACGATGAGGATCCTAAATCCTGAACATGCTCTTGCACTAGATTGGAGTCTATTCATTGTTCTGCAGGAATCTCACCGGAAGGATAATGACATCACACCCTGCAATGCAGAAGACTGAGGTAAATATATATATATATATAAGTATATCATCTAAGTTTTTCCCTACAGGTACATTTTTCAACTACCATCATGCAGATTTTTACAGGGGAAATAAGGCCCCCTTTAAGTGTATTGTTTTGGTTGACCTTAGGAAATAATATCGGAATAAATAATAATTAATGGTCCATGATTAACATATTTGGAGGAAGAAAGCTGTTGAGAATTGTATTTTTATAGTTAAGTTCCAAGATACAAATCTACATTAAGCTTATACATATATTTACAGGCTTTGCTGTTTGTTGAATGACGTTAAAGGCAACATGAGTCTTACCCATACTAGGCAAAATAACAGGTACACTGTGCAGCACCTACCATAAGGTGACTGTTCTTACTATGCCCCAATCTGCTACTGGAGCCCCAAGAAAAGCCTGGGGCTTCTCGGTATAAGGCTAAATGAACACTGTGCTTGGTGCCTAAAAAGTAAGTTTCTAGGACCAAACACTGTGATGTGGGACAATGGGAGGCACTCTAAACACTGTGCTGACTTTCAGAAAGTTGATACTTTATAGAGATATGGGGCGGGAGCACACTTTAAGGTGCCTGTTGTGTACCATACCTGGTACTTTGCCTAGTGTTAATGAAATACAGACCACAGTTTATTAGTGTCACTAAGAGTAACCAATATAAAACCCACTTACTAACATAAATGAAACTCAGAAACGGTCACACTAAATAGTTTTAAGATTTACAATATCCTATTCATCCTCTCGACTTTGTATACAGACCAGCGGTCTGTAATACTCTGATCATTTTTAAGGCTTTTTTATCTAAATACATAGCTGGTATTGTAAGCCGAGTGCAGCCACCCACAGCAACCAGTCTGAACCTTTCAATGATCTTACTGCTCTACTGCTTTTAATGCTGCACTTCATTACTCAACTTCCTTCTCAAAATAAAGATTTTCCCCAGTGCACACACACAGTGATTAAATAAAACCCCCCCAGAGAAGTGGTAACCTATACAAGTAACAAGTAATCTACAAGAATCTATATGTACAGTAAATATATGCATTTATGTGCCTGTGTGTGGCAAAATGTTACCAGTAGCTGGTACATGATCGCATTATAAGTGGCACACATAGGGGCATTTCACATCAATCCTGTTGCTAGTTAACATGATTGTTAAAGAGACTACTCACCTGCTCCTATGTGGTCATTCTCGCTGGCTAAAACATTGCAGCATATTGCTTGCAAGTGAGGTAGCAGAAACTGCAGTGGAACCTCGCTGGTTCAGCCAGCTAGGCAGCGATGACATAGGAGCTGGCAAGCGCTTTCTACATGGCCTGCTTCTTGCTTAATTGCTAAAAGTAGAATTTGAAAGGATTGACCCTTAAAGACTATGTAATCCTTAAAAATACACTTATTTTCTCCTGTTTGGTCTGTTAAATCTATCATTGAAAGAATTCTGTTATATATGTTCGATTAATGCAAGAAAACAACTGTTGATTCTTTCAGAAACCTACAGCTGTCCTGTGTACTCTTCTTCTGGTATCTCAAAATAATTGAGAGAGAGTGGGAGGGATTTAGTAGTTTAGGAAAAGACAGCTGGGCAGGGCTGACATCATGATTTCAGTCCATAAAAGGCACTGTGAGCCCACAACAGAAAATTAGGAGATGAGTGCATTTCTGACAGATCAACTGGTATTTTTTTGTACATGCATGTACTTTCTTTTATGTCGCTGACATATGCTTAAAGGGGGCGTCATACTAAAGATCCTGTTGCTGGCAACAACCCACCATCAATTAAGCAAAGAGCGGGCCATGTAAGACTACCCTTGAGGGCAGCTTTTAAAAATTATTTGTGTGGTGTTAGGGAGCTGTTCACTTTTCTGTTTAGAAAAGGAAACAAGTATTTCTTCAAATGCAATGATATAACAACTAACTCTAATGGAATGTAGGAGAACATTAAAGCTGTTCCCAGTGGCTTGCCACATATGAGCAAAATGTCTGTTCATAAAAAAAAAAGATCCATTAATTGCCCATTCTCCAAACAATTGTCAAGAATCAACTCTATAGATATTTGGACACTCAAATCTTCATGATGTCAGGCAAAGACACAAATCAAAGAGAGGTATCTTTGGAATACAAAGCCCTACTTAAGTTTGGTCAAATGGCTATATGCATCCACCACTGAGATATTTCCATATATATGTATGAGTCATACCATATATGAAATGCGTATGTGAGGAAAGGCAGCAGACAGTAAAAGGGTCCCCTTATTGAAGTCTCAAGGCATAAAAGTCCCATAGACATTCCGTAAAATATTCCGTAAAATTCAATTAAAAAATCTAAATACAAAACTACGGATACATGTTTATAATTGTGCTAGCTAATTTCAGGAACCTGAAGACACAATAGTAAAAACTGACCTTGGCCACCCCTGCCATATAACATTTAGATCTTATTCTGTGCAGTATATAGCTATAAACCTCAAGTATACATGCTGTCTGATGTATCCACAGGCATGAGCTGAATCAGATATGGGGAAGGCGGCTCCACCTTGACTGGATCTTGAACATGAGCAGCATAGAGATTTTCAGTTGCTTGTTGCACCAACTCAGAGGCCAAAGCTTGCTCAATCTACATGAAAAAGCACAAAATCACTATAACAAATTATTTTATGCCAACATTACATAGACTTTCATTGTAAGGTATAGACCAGCTAAAACCTGTCTGGATTCTGGCTGGCCTGTTCATTTGGAACCATTATAGAAATAGTGCTCACAGCTTCCTTTGCACTTAGCAATATGGCTTCCTTGCCAGGGTCATCTTACACCCTATCTAAACATGTGCATTCTGTGTATTCAGACTCCTCACCTTTGCTGTGATCAGTTTATCTTCAGTAGGGTCCCTGTCTGAGAATTCTTCTCCAAAACATAAGGTGACTTGATATTCTGGTGGGTTGCCACCATTCGTTCTGTATAATTCCAGTTCTACACAAAAATCCCAATAAAGAACATCAGTAAAGCAAAAAAAATGCCAGTATTCTTATATAAGCAGAACATAAAAGGTGATATTCTCTTTAAAATATGAAAACACTTGACCTTTGTGCTATAGGTTAGTATATGTTTATTAACTACCAATACAGTGGTCAATAACTGTACAGAATTTTCTGCACATACAAACAAGCATAATGCATGCAGATTATGTTTACTTCCTTATGTATTTTTTTTAGTAATGGGTCTTTAAATGGTACTAATCTGAATGTAAAGGTTTCTGTTATACTCATGTTTTGAAAGTTTGGCCTCATAGTGAACCATAAACCTTAAGGTACTATTAAAGACTGGGTGTTTTTTGCCTTAATGCATTCTCTGCATTAAGGCAAACCCCCACCCCCCATCACTGCGGCCATTTGTCACCCTCCGCCACAACCAGGAAGATACACAGGTTTTCCCACATATGGGTTCCTCCAGAGCAGTAGGCTAGCTGATGGAGGCACCGACACAGAAGGGAGGGAGGCGGGCTTGCGGTCTGGATACCACTTCAGAATAAGGAAATAAAAGCAAATCTGGCCACCATAAAATAAAATAAAATAAAAAGAACCCTGGAGGCTAAATGTCACTTTAAAGAGTCACAAAATGACTAAGGCAAACTTTTTATGCATTTACTCGTTATTTTACTAACTCACTTATTCTTACCTTTCAGGAACTTCTGTGTGTCAAATAATTTAACATGTTTATCTCTTTCCAGTTTATTAATTGTTCCTTGACTGTTTGTACACGGGCCAGTCCAATAAACGCGCCCAGAACAAGATTTTTGGCGTTGAGCAAAGATTCCATCAATGTTGCTGGCTAACATAACTCCAGCTTGAAGAAACTTCAGAAGATCCCCTGTCTTCTTCTGTGTGTCTTGATCAAGTGGTTCTATTGGTAAAGGAAGAAGAACATGCTCCATCTCTCCCAAGAAGCACTGGGTAGGAGCTTTAGCTGAGAGTTTACATTCTCCGCTCCGAATCAATAAGTTCGATACTTCAACACCACTGTATAGTACTGTGACTTGCATTTCTGAAACAGAAATAAAATGATAATGATTCCAAAACGATTTTCAAGGCCAAGCATAAGTACAAGTACTGTTCCTCAAGTACTCGCCGATACCAATTACCGGTACTTTTTTTTTTTAAAGTGACGTGACAGTTTTTCTAAAAGAATTTAGATTAATAATTTTAGGACAGTGGTGGAAGCACCAGGGCCCAGTCACAGCTGCAACTGCTGCGCCCCTGGTAGTTCTGCCACTGATTCCAAGCTGTAGAGGGACTACAAATCCCAGCAATACATTATACTGCAATGCAGAATACCACCAGCTGTAGAGGACTACAAATCTCAGCATTTCCTTATACAGCAAAGCAGAATAATATGAAGCTACATACTCTGTGTTTCTCACCAGGGCTATGCTGCATCTCAGGAGGCTTAGTGGGGTCTGACCAGGGCTGTGCAGGGTCTCAGGAGGATGCTCAGGGTCTCACCAGGGCTGTGCAGGGTTTCACCAAAGCTGTGTGTGGGGTCTCAGGAGGATGTGTGGTCTCACCAGGGTTGTGTGCGGGCTTCACCAGAGCTGCGTGTGGGTGTCACCAGGGCTGCCTGTGGGTGTCACCAGGGCTGCCTGTGGGTGTCACGAGGGCTGCCTGTGGGTGTCACCAGGACTGCAAGTGGGTCTCACCAGGGCTGCAAGTGGGTCTCACCAGGGCTCTGTGCAGCATCTCACCAGGGCTGCCTGTGGGTGTCACCAGGGCTGCCTGTGGGTATCACCAGGGCTACCTGTGGGTCTCTCCAGGGCTGCAAGTGGGTCTCTCCAGGGCTGCAAGTGGGTCTCTCCAGGGCTACAAGTGGGTCTCACCAGGACTGCATGTGGGTGTCACCAGGGCTCTGTGCAGGGTCTCACTAGGGCTGCATGTAGGTGTCACCAGAGCCGCATGTGGATGTCACCAGGGTTCTGTTCAGTGTCTCAGCAGTGCTGCATGTGGGTGTCACCAGGGCTCTTTGCGGCGCCTCATCAGGGCTGCCTGTGAGTATCCTCAGGGCTCTGTGCCGCGTCTCTCCACGGCTGTGTTCGGGTATCCCCAGTGCTGTGTCTCACCAGGGCTGCGCCGGACTCTGCGGGCAGCAGAAAGGAGGAGGGGGAAGATGTGGGGCCGGACCAGCACTGTAAAAAACAGCCGCTTCAAAGTCCCCAGGAATCGCTGGACCTCAGGCAGACGCTTCTGTTTAAGAATTCAAAGGGCCGGTATCGGCTCGTAGTATAGGTGCATCCCTAGTCTCTAACACTGTTGTGGTTCACCATCAACATCTGTGTTTCTCTGAATTGTAAGCTGAAAGTTGAAACTGAACAGTAAGCATTTGATTTGTTCTACTAATTTCAAATCTCCTGAAACAGGAGGGTGTCATGAGACTGAAGAAGAGAGAGCAGCCATAAAGCTTCATGTACCTCATTCTCATGTATCACTGAGAATGAATAAATAAAGACTAATTAGTCAGTGAAGCAAATCAGAATTTAATCTGCTGAAACTAGACTTGTACATAATACATAAGCAGTTAACAGTATAGCACTCATTTGACTAAGGCATGTTATTAATAAGAACTGTGTGTGTCATCTCACAGCCACAGGTAAGGTTCAAACCTCTCCCTGGTATAGATTTTTTAAATAGTATAACAGTCATACAACAAGGGATCTTGATAACAATACTTAGCAACATAGTTTATCTTTATAAGCAATAGGACAGAACAGGTAGTAAAAACTACATAGTAACAGCTGGCAGGAAGCACTGTGTTACAGCAATTCGGCAGAGGTGAGTATTTGCAGAGTTTAGTTCCACTTTAAGTTAAAGCCAAATGCCGGGTGAAATAATTTACACGTCATACTGGGTGGGTCGGTGTTAGAAATCGGTGTTAAAGAATAAAGGTAAAAGAGCATAAATAAGTATAATTTAAAGGTAATTTCTGATTGATGGCCATGCAGCAATCAAAACAGTTCTTATAAGGTAAATATGAAGCCTTGTGTTCTGTCCACTGCTGAGCACAAGCAGAATCGAACTATATAAGAGCAAGATATTACTATAAAGATGAAGGAAAGTAGGATCTACTGGTTATACTAGCTCTATGAAGGCCTTGTGCACACGGCTACTTGAATTAAATCTAAACTGATCATTGCTTGTAAGACTATCTATCCATATATCTACACTCAATGGCCACTTTATTAGGAACACATTCCTAGTACCAGGTTGGACCCCCTTTTGGGATGGACATGGTCAGAAACAATACTCAGGTAGGCTGTGGCATTTAAAAGATGACCAATAGGTACTAAGAGGCTGAAAGTGTGCCAAGAAAATATGGCCCACACCATTACACCACTGCCACTAGCCTGAACTGTTTATACAAGGCGGGATGGCTAGGCTCGGCGGGTCTCCCCGAAGTGATCAGAGAGAGATTCAGCGGCTTCCAGCCGCTGATCTCTCCTCTGATCGCTGGACCCGGAAGTGATGTCCATTACATACTGTAACAAGGACACTCCACTGTAGTCCAGGTAAGTCAAGCAAAACGCAGTTTATTAAAAGGGCAAACACAGTCTCTGGTCATCCACGGGGTAGCCTTCCCCTGTTCACATAAAGGCCAACATTTCATGCACTTTTCATGATAATCGTCCTTCCCCAGCAAATACCGTCCTTAGTAGCTTTCCTCAGCTCCAAGGCTCCCAGCACACCTCAGTATGACACTCACACTGCTCTCCCTGCAGCGTGTCCCACAGGTCCTATGGTCACCGACCTTCCTGACCTCTCCCAGCCTCCCCCGGCTGTTCCTTGTGCGTCCAGCACGCACCCGAGTCTGCGTGTGTCCGTGTACCTCCTGCACACACACCAACTCCAACTCTCTTCTCTGAGCACTGGGCTGGCTTCCTAATGAGGCTGCTCTCAGCCACCTGATCAGCCCAGACTTGTCATTGGCAACACCTGGCCCCAGGACTGGAGATCTCATCCCACCCAGAGCTCTACGAAATCGCCAGACCTCCAGATCCCAGCTACAATCAGGAAAACCTGGACGAACCTGAAAAGCCAGGTTCTTCCTTATAACATGTGTCAATTTCTGGACCCTCTCAGCCCCTTTGGCTGGGAGTCCTGGGTGCCAAAGTCGCCATACTACACCGTGGCATTGGCTTACACTGCCACAATACATACACAGTCTCCGGCTCTTAGAGCCAGGAGATGAAGCTGGGGATTCAGATCTGTTTCCTCAGCTTCTTTTGGATCCCTAGGTGACATTAGGAGTCCATAAAGAGGACCTATCACACCCTATCTGCTATTACATAGGGTGATTGTTAGCCCCCTATGTGATAGCAATAGGGTTAGTGTAAGAAAAAAAAATGAAGTGTTTAAAAGTTATAAAAATGAAAGTAACATAAAAGAAAAAAATGCAAAAAAAAAATTGAATGCCCCGCCCCCCACGTGCACGCACATATACACACGCGTCGGTGCGCCTACGTGCGAAAAGGACAATTGCGCTACACATGTTACATGTTGCCGCCAACTTCGGCTTGAGAGCAATAATTCTAGCCTTGTCAATCACTGTTAGCACTAAATTGATGAGCGGTAAAAGCGTTTAAAATGTTCCCTATGGGAAATTTGGGGTATTGACGTTTTTGAGAATCACTCCGGTGTTCTATGGAAAGCTCACTGCACAGAGCTCCAGTGTTTCTGAGCACCAGAGGTAGTTAGAGATCTCAATGAGTCGGAGCTTTCGATAGAACACCGGATCCTGCAGCTTCCTCCGCCCACCTCAGCTGTCATAGGCTGGGAGGAAGACTGCAGTGCTGCTACTGGCTGGAAGGACAGCACGGGAGAAGCAGGACACCTGGGACATGGAGGATACATTGCTTTTTTCTGCATTACACTGCTGGCCTCTGTACTCTGCATCACACCACTGGCCTCTGCACTCTGCATTGTTACTGATCTCTGTGTCACACCACTGACCTGGCGGAGTTAAGGGCGGGGCACGGTAGGGGTCAGGTGGGGCGACTGGTGGCGAGTAACTCTTAAGGCCTGGCTAGTAGCTCAGGACTTGAAATTTTGAGCCCTGATCTATGAAACCTTATTCCAGTGAAGCTGAAAGCAAAACTGGCAGAAATGGACAACTAATGTTATGAGAACAGACGCACGAAAAAGAGCATGATAGATACATATATTGCATCAAATGATATAATTCTACATAAAGCAATCCAATAATTTAAAGAAATACCTTTATGTGTGGACTGTGTAGGGGGCAACGGCAACGACGTTGACTGTAGTAAAGCTGTAAAGGGCAAGAGACACAAATATTTAATATACAAATAAAGGAAAATGTTTGTTACAAGGAATATATATACGTTATTGTAACTTCTAGGTCAAAAATTCTGTATTTACTGTAACATTAGTGGTGATGTTTAGACTGTGGGAATGAAAAGTCGATTAATTTATATCAGGAGTTTACCTCTTTTTTTTAATATTTGTTTTACTAAAGGTCACTGTAAATGTAATTAATTACAAGGAATGTGGGAAGTTGTGTCACCGAGCCTACATCCCAAAGCAATGTTAAAGCACAAAAATATATTTATCAAAAGCCTTGTCTCATCTCAGATATAAATGTCATGGTCCAAATCTGACTAAAATCGTTGTGAAGAGATGTCACCAGCACTCCAAATATGACAGAATACGTCAAAGTTTTAGTGAATCTTCGTTTTTATTTTTAGAAGTCACTCAAAGTGGAATCAAGCGCTTTCGGGGCTGCACAGGGTGCCCTTCATCAGGCTTAAAGTGAACATATAAGACTGCCATTGTGAGACTGCCATGCGCCCAGAGACAACTATATAAGACTGCCATTGTGAGACTGCCATGCGCCCAGAAGCTATTATGTGAGAATGCTATTCTACCTGAGATTACTATGTGAGACTGCCATGCTCCCAGAAGCTATTTGGGGCGACTGCCATGTTCCCAGATACTAATATGCAAGACTGCCATGTTCTCAGAGACTAATATGTAAGAGTGCCATGTTCTTAGAGACTACTTTGTGACTTAGTCATGCTCCCACTAAGACTTCAAAGAACCCTGTTTTCAAATACCACCATGATCCCAGATCCGCCCTTACAGACTACCATACTCTCAAAAAGGAGTCCCATAGACCTGAAAAGCACACAAAGGAGCATTTTCTTTGGCCTCCTCGCAGTAAAGAGAAGCATTTACAGGTGTCCTCTATGGCTAGGATATGTGATGTCACTTTCAGGTTGAACAGAGGACACCATAGTCAGTGCTAGGCAGGAGCTATGAGCAGTGTTGATGTCACACTAGCAGTGATTGAACCGCTGTTTAGAATAGGGCTGTGGGCTGAATTTTGAACAATGATGATTGATATGGTGATGCACATACTAAAGAGAGAAAAGCCATTGTCCTTGATCACTCACATATTGTTAGAAGACTACGACAGATCAGGAGTGTAAAACTAAGATGAGACGTATCAGGCATTTGCTGACATACAATTACCAAGCCGTGCCCCGTTTTCTTAATTCCTAACACTGTCTGACCTTTCACAAGAATGCATTTCAGTTCATGTGTAAGGGCACAGGACAAAAAGACACCTGTTGTGTAACATTTCAAAAAGGTATTCCAATATGTACTCTAGGACTAGTATGAATAAACAAGGCCAGGAGATATGATGCATGCAGCCAAATGTTTCCAGCATGTAAGATTTAGGGGGGATCCTTAATAATGTGTTAGCTATTTGGGAAAGCTGGAATTTGGGAGCCTGGGTCTCATATGTGGCCCTGTACCTTTAAGGAGATAGAGGTAGCCTCTAGGCAAACTTGCTCTTAATGTATTTATTGCTATAATATCCTAGTTTTGACACTCCTTTAGATTTTACTAGGACCGCACTTTAACCCTTTGCTCTGAAACAATGTTACCATTTTTATTGTGCATGTTAAAACTCACATTATAGACTTTGGATTTCACAAAAAATCCCACAAACCATATTTTCTGAAAGCAGAGCAGCTATAGCATTACAAAACAGTATTCATAACTTCATGACACTTGCACAAATGTTTATCAAATCTATATTTTCAAATAAAAAGGACTTACATTAATTTAATTGCACAAAAACACAATATGATCTCTGAAAGGTCCATTACACATAAAAGATGAGCAAGGACACTATACAGAACCATTTTCATAAGATTTATTAAGGGCAGTAATATATACAGTATAACCTTATTATCTGCCAGTCTTCAAAACATTGGCAGAATTGTATGGCTTTTCAAGTGTTATAGTGATTAAAGTCTCTCAATAACAGAGATTGTTTATCTCTGTTATGCATGCTTTCTATACATTGTATCTGCATATATTTGTCTCAATAAAGTTTATACGAAAAAATTAAAGTGACTGAATCAAGTTAATAAATATAAACACAAAAATTGTACATAGGCAACACTATAGTTTCCCCTTAAGTGTCATATACCAATACATTTTAATGTCTTTTATGCCCTTTTTACACTGCACAGATGGGTGAATGAGCTTCTCTTAAATGTGTGCATTGATGGCAGCCAGCAAAACATTCCCCCTAATAACCACATCACCAAAGTACGCCATTTAAAAAACTGCAGCAGCCAGTTATCTATCCTGTGATCATTGGCAAAACTACCACCATAACTGCTCACGCGGCCACTATGGGGTCCAGTCAGGAGCAGGAGAGGTGAGCAACTTGACACTAATTACTGTATGCTTGGGATTCTGGGGGGTGCACAGTGCATACCTTCACTGAATCTGGGTGCGGTGCATAATGGTTAACACTGTTGCCACCAATGAAGCTGGGGAAAGGGGGGTTATGTTGCCTCCCCACAGCTCTTATATTTGCTGCATACAGTTTCTAACAAAACCCAATGTATATACCTTTTTTAAATCTTTTTGCAAGTAGTCACATAACCACAAAGTTCCAGCAAGTGTGCCTGACCGTGCAGCTGGCAGGCACTAACTCTTCCAGGACCTACAAAACCTTAGAGCTATGGATGCCAATGGGATGACAACATTGCTCTAAGGATTCAGCTGCGTTGTCGGCCCTGCACAGACAGACACATTTTGAGCTTGCACTCATGTGACCACTTGGAAAAAGCCCCCCAAAAAAGTATTTCCATTGAAATTTACTAGAAAATGTATGCAGCGAATATAACAGCACCCTTATTGGGTGTTTTTCAAATTTTCACTTTGCTTTTGTTTGTTTGTTGAGGGGCCCCATAAAAATTTTGTTTTGGAGCCCTGTTACACCTCTGCAAAAATAAATCTGCCTGGACTTGAGGGTTTCCATGTAATGCTTTTTTGTACATTCTCGACATTACTTGAGCAAATAATTGCACCTTTTCCAAAATGTCATACTCAACTGTTAATTGGCCTGTTTTTTTCCTTTTCTTGTGCTGCTCAACTTATTCCCATGGTATGTGTTCTTCTTCTGCTCTTTTTTTTATGAAACATTTATAGAAATGGAAAGTCTGTGCACCAGGAAAGGCCAGCAGATTCTACAAAAGTGGCCCAAAACAGCCGAGGAAAGCTTTTATTTTCAAATGTGCTTGTTACTAAGTGCAATATCTCCCTCTTTCTTTTCCTTGTCTTTTATAAAAGGGCCCTTGGGTTAGTCATGTCTAAACATGGCTGTTTACCTAACTGATTGCGGTTACTGGATATACTCTTAATATGGCTGTCTCTTGAGGATGAATCCGCCTTTGTAGCCACGTTACTATCCCCAAGAGGAGACTAAACGTTTGTACAAATGAAAGCTAGAAAGCTCTTAAGAGAAAAGGGCAGTGTGACTGTTGCGAAAAGTCTTTAGGTGTTCTATGGGTAAAATTGTGATTATTTGCTTTTGACTATACATTGACTGCCCAAGCGTACTGCTAGTTGTGTGCCTACATATTATTGATAAACATACCGATTCCCTGGTGATAGAACAATATATAATAATCAAGATTACATTTAAAACATAAAAGTTGGTAACATGTATTTAAATGTCTCAAAGCATCATACATACAGTCATGTGAAAAAGTATGTACACCCCTTGGAAAGTGTTAACTTTTTTTGTTGTTGAATAAATGATTGAGAAGGCACAATTTTCTTGTATTTCTATTCAAGTATACCAGCTTTATTGGTAGGTGCTGCTTGAATAAAGATCTAATATTTGCATGCTACCACATGTTGAGAACGTCAACAATATCCATGGGGTGTAATTCATTATTTTTTATAAATAAGTCTAAGTACATATATTAATGTATGTTTTAATGTTATCACTCACTCAACAGGGTAGTGTTCTGGTGTTCAGGCTGGTGTGATTCACAATTAGGGATATGCGGATTTATGGTTGGTGCATCAGTATTGCTGGTGTCACTTCCATTTCCAGAATCAGCAGAGCCACAGCTGGTTGCCTCCAGTGTCTCAATGTAAGATAGCTGCTGGAAATGACAGAATAAAAAATCAGACACGAGCAGAAAAAAAAGTCCAACTCAAGCAAAAACTTTTTTGTTCAATATAGATAACATGCAGAAGGGTTAGAGCTTCTTTAAGGTTTCTACTGTTATCTTTTTCCCCGTTGGGTGAGATTTACCTTAAAGGAGAACTATGAGATGAGTGATTTCCAAACTATGGGGAAAAACACAGACCCCATAGTTCTCCTTTAACTTCTTGTCAGGACAGGGAGTGATGGGAAATATCTCCAACAGGGACACATAGGAAAGCACAAACACATTTTTAGAGTTTTCAACAAAAGATTCCAAATTCAGAAATTGTTTTTAACCCCTTCGTGACGGGAGATGTAGACTGTACGTCCCGCCACAAAGTGTCAGGCTCGTCCTCGGCACCCCCGGCGCCGCGGCGCTCCGGCCGTGACGTCACGCAGCGCTCCGCCCCCTGGGCTCGGCGTGGTTCTCATAAACCCAGTGAAGGCAATCACTCGGCGTTCAGTCAATGTGGAACGTCGAGCGAATTGCCTCCACTGTCTCCACTGAACCAGTCCGGCTCCCACACCCTGTCCAGATCGCAGCACTTGCTGGCACTTCTCCTCGTTACAGCTCCTCTCAGCCACGCAGGATAGAGACAGATCCCCCACAGCTTGAACAGCTGAACCGCAAGTATCTGGGCTCTAGCCCTATGTTGAACTACCTGTCAGTTACCTGATACTACTGCTGATAAATACTTGTTGAAGTTATATGCCTGTGAAATTGCTACTGAAGGTTTACATACCAACTGAAGTGTATTGAGAGATACTGCTAACGATTACATACCTACGCTATATGTCTATCTACTTGCACCAGTTCCACGTTACTGTTGTCACTCGGGTGTAAAGAACATCAGCATTAGTCCATATTCCTCAGTATTGCCTGGATGCACTGGGTGTTAGAGGCAGCCTATAGATTTCGGGGTTGTGTGTGCAGTTAAACCAATCTATAGCTCCTCTGGTTGGTTCATACTACAGTCCCATCAGACCACCATCACTGCAGTAACTTGCCTTCCACTAAGGCTGGGATACATGATGTGGAACGACTTCCTAGCGCACTGAGTGTGTAGGAAGTCGCCTGACTGACCGAATCCCATTCAGCCTACCAAATTAGTTCCGCAGCTGCCGTCCAGTTCCACCATAGCCGCTTGATTGTGATACAAAGGGACCAAATGACTCATCACGTACACTGTACGTGATGAGTTATTTGCTGCATTAGAGGGCTGGTAACCGCTGAGAATCAGCGGTTACCATTCATTAATGGATGCCTCAGTATAGAGGCATCCATTAATGAAAGGGTTAACCTTTTTCAGGCACCTGATACCTTAATATCGGGTGTCTGAGAGTCAAAGCAGAGCGGGCAAACATGCTGGCAAAAGCCGGCATTCTGACAGCTCGTATAGATCTAGAGATATCTCTCTCGATCGTATACTGGCTTTTTTTTTTCTTTCACTTTCAGGAATAGATACATAACGATCAGAAAACTTAGTGACAGCTGAATCCTGAAATGCTGCAGGATCAGTGTCACTAACTTATTATCAGCTGTTCTGAAGTTTGGCGCAGCCTAATAATAACCAAAAATGTATTCATTTATCAAGCAGTAATAGTGAGATTAATTCACAATGACTGCTTGATATAATTAAATAAATAAAAATTTGTAAAACAAATAGTGAAAAGTGTAAAGAAAAAAAAAAGTGTAAAAAAATAAAAAATAAAGGACAAATAAATGAATGTATTTATTGCATTTTTTTTTAGCTGTGCTGGTTTTGTAAAAAATGCTACAAATCAAAACTGGGAAAAAAAGTGTTTTTTTTAAACGTTTTTTCCTCTTTTTTTATATTTTATTTGCCCTAAGTGAGGCGTTAGACACACATATGTGATATAAATATGTAGCCCTATCTGTCCTCTAAAAAACAATATACAATATGTGTGGGTGCACTTTGTAAGAAAGTATATTACTGACGTGGAAGAATCACACAGCAAAAATGTCAAAAGTAGGTCAGTCATTTACGAACAGAAGCTAAAAACAAGCTCAGTCATGAAGGGGTTAATCACTGAATGTGACTTTTGTCTAACTAACAAACCCCCCCTGCACATTTCTTGTACATGCATCACAGGGACAGGAAGAGAAGAAATGGGGGTCACGCACAGAAATATAAACCTATCAGGAATATGAACTTATCCAAATCCAAGATAAAAATGTCATTGGAGTTAGGCTTTAATCTTACCAGGCTCACATGTTTAGACTTCTTTTCCACCTGGTCAACCTTATCACAAGATTTGGCCTTTAAATCTGCTGAAGTCTTCCTCTTCTGTGTCAGTTTTCCTGATTGGGGGTTTTCTGAAGTAAGAGGAAATAAAAAACATGATAAAGCTGTCCATAGTGCTGGAAAAATGACAGTCCCCTAGACATGAAGTACAATCATAGGAACTACTTGACTAACATGTGCAGCTAACCACTTTTAATTAGTCTCTCCCCCAATACATTATTTACAGATATAGACAGATTACAGAGTTGCATAAGGAGCATTTATCCATACAGAGTGTTTTTAGATAAATGATAAACATATTTATAAGGTAAACTAAGAAGTGTTCCGATTTCAGTGAGGAATCATTGTTCCAATGCATCTACAAAACAATCACTTTCCATTTTAGCATGTCTGTGTTCCCATAAGCAAATAAGCATGCATTTAAAGCTCGTTCTTTTCCCATACTAGTGTCCTTTACCCCTTCTCTTCACAGCAGCACATAATCACCCCTTTCGTTTAAATTAAATATAGATATACATCTGTGCTATTCTTCCCATGTCCCTTTTCAAAGCTGCCAACACTACAAGTACCATATGCAGTACTTTCCGATAATTTTTGCCAGAATAAAGTGTAGAGCTTATTACCAATGTGTTCAATCAAAGTGCAATGTACAATAACTGTGATGTGCATATAATCCCTCATGACAAATTATATGTCCAAAGTTCCATATGCAAAAAAACAAAACAATGTGCAATATTCAGCAATAAATAAATCAATAAGTTTACAAAATCAATATTTTAATTCTCTAAAGATGTGCTCCAGTATTCTCAGTGTGAAGAGACCTCAGTGAACCATGGTGAAGAGACCTCATTCGGTGAAAACAATTGCATGGATCACATCCCTTTCCTTTACAGTTGTTCTGCTCAGCTGAGTGAAAATACTCAATTTTTCGAGGTATGGAGGAGCATGTGACAGCACTGGGCTAATCACCAAGCTCGGTGATGTTACGTAGGGAGGGTCCATAGCTCTGTGCAAGCTAAGGGCAGCTTTATCTGCTCCTGTAAACTGAAAGTAGCAGCAGGTGAATGAAGGAAAGCGGTATGTGCTGCGGAGCAGCAAAGCACAAGTTGATTTGATACTTTAAACTAGGGATGCACAGATACCGATACTAGTATTGGTATCAGTGCCATTTGGGCTCATACTCGCCCCCGGTTTTCTGATTGGCCAGAGAGTCGGCTTCATGGAGCTGGCTAACCAGGAAGCCAGGTAGCGAGTCATTACACGCCGCCAGGCTTCCTTAATGGGACTTCCGGTATTGGCAGTCGGTATTGGCAAGTACCAAAAACAAATATCAGTACTCATACTTGATACCGAAAAACCAGTATCAGTGCATCCCTACTTTGAACTGAACTCTAGCCCAAGGCACAAATGGCAATAAAAACATCACAGAGATTTCCCCTCACTTCCACTAGGTGATTGCAGTGAGATGAAATTACTTTCCTCTCTACACAGTGAATTCTTAATATATTCCTTTTGAGGATCCACTAGGGATAAACTGACACTCCTGCCAGCCTGTAGTAGATTCTCCAAAGGAACATATGGAGAATGCGCTGCATAGAATGGAAACCAGAAGTCCAGCTCATAGCAAGTTTCTGGTTGATAGTAAGTGAGGGAAATCAAGTCTCTGAAGACACAGGCAGCAAGTCCTCACCTTGCTCCTCCGGTGGAACAATTTTATAAACTTTGTATGGTTCAGATATATCCAGCTGGGACCTTTCTGGACGCTCTTGGAATTCTAGGCTTTTATTCAATGCACAACGAAGTCTTGTCTTCCATGCTGCTGCATCCTCTTTATCTCCATTTTTGTATTTGTTCTTGTACTGAGCCCATGCCTATATATGTAATAAAAAAAATCAAGAAAGAGTAATTTAATATGAAAGTATAACTAAAGCGGAAAACCTTTTTGTGGATAGAGTGGGGAGTTGTTAAAACCCCTGTTGAATGCGCGCTGAGTGCAGTGCGGTGATCGCACCCAGGGCACGGGCACTGAGATCTTTCGTCCCCCCCCCCCCCCCCCTTTTTTTTTCTTTTTTTTTTAGTCCTTGTTGTAATTCGCCTCCAGCAGAACCCGAGTAGTTGGGAGGCTATCCGCTCGAGTTGAGGGATGGTCCTCCTGGCTTGGGGTCCAAGTTAGGTTTCTTGGTTAATTGTTGAGAAAAGTAAGGTGGAAATGCATGCTGACCTCTAGTACAGATTGATGGTTTTATTGCACTATGTATGAGCAGCCGGGCTCGGCTGTGTGATGTATAAGCTGAATTTCTGTATATGTTTCATTATGCAGGGCCATGAGGTCCTACTGTTTCACACTTCTGTACTATGTTGGTATGCTTATATAAATAAAGAATACAAAAAAACCCCTGTCAGTTTTTTGTTTTGTTTTACTGCCTATGCCCCTTCGGGGAGATTTTCCTTCACTTTCTGTTCTAGAGACATAACAGGAAGTGAGAAAAAATTGTCATAAGTGAAGGCAACTCCCTTTTAGACAGTTGTCACCACAACAAATGCCACTTTGGAGAGCCCCCTGTATTCCTGTTCCAGTGATAAGTGACCAGTGAGGTAACAGATAGCAATAAAAATCCGAAAAGATTTGTACCTTTAAAAATAATAACCCATTTTGGCTGTTTATTGTTTCTATTTGAACCTAAATGGATCAAAGCTTGTCAAATCTTTTCTGTTAATACCCATGCGTAGAGACTTCTCAGAGGAAGATAGAATCTCTTTCTTAGAAATGGGCTGTGGGATTGTAGCGAAAAATATAAAAACAAGCACCATTTTATGCAGCTACCGTATGCGTTAGCGGGACTGCTATGTCTGTGTTTTATGCCTTGAATAAATAAAGAAGATTTTTCCTGGATCCAGAACCATGTGCAAACACTTATTTCTACTTTTTCCCTAGCAGCTATGTAAAATGAGGTCAGACGAAAAAGTCAGATCTCCAAACAATACTTTTCAACGCTCCCAGACAGTACAGCTCTCAGTGGGATGGTTTCAGCAGTGCGGTCAATCCAGAAAACAAATAGAAAGGCTAGGTGTGGCTATAGGATTAATTGACAACTTACAAGCCGGTGAATCAGCGGTAACAATGCTGACAGCCATGCCCCCTTCTTTCCATCCCGCTGTAGTGCATGAAAGTACACATAGCCTGTATTAAGGTGACAATGCTGCTCTGAATTCAGGAGCAATGCAGCAGTGTTGTCAACCTATCAAAGGTTGCTGCATGAGGTGGACATTCCTGGCACAATCAACAGATATTTGGGAGACTGCAGTGCAAAAAGGGAAAACAGCAAGTGAAGACACCCTCACAATGGAATGCTGCAGCACATTTTTTAAATGTGAGGCTATAGTCCAACTGTGGGCCCCCAGGAGAAACCAAAGGACTTATGTATAAGCATTCTAACCAGCATATAGCTGGGCGAATGCTGTTTGCACGGCATAGATTGTAAAGCTCTCACGGGCAGGGCCTTCCTTGCCATCTTGTTTTGATTTGTATTGTAATGTCTTCCTTATATTGTAAAGCGCAGCGCAAACTGTTGGCGCTATATAACGCCTGTATAATAATAATAACAACTTCTACCCCTAGATAAAACCGAGGAATACAGGAATTCCATTTAGTGGTAGGAATGCCGTGCGAACGGCATTCACCAAGCTATACACTGGGCAAAATATTATACATCAGCTCCTAACACTCCATTCACACAGAAGCGGTTGCCCACGTGTATTTGGCCATACGAATATGAACGGAGTTGCACTTAACATATAAAACAATGCACTTTTTTGTGTATTGTTCAGACTTTTGCGGCGGCTGCGCGGTACGAAACCGCGCAGCCTGCAAAATGATCCAAAATGATGGATTCTGCACGTTTGCGGCTATAATAATAGCCGCAAACTAGCGGAATCCGTGCAGATGAAAGATTTTAGCATTTGCATGCCGTGTGGTCTTCAGCAGGAAGCGCAAACGCTATATGTAAATGGAGCCTACGTGTAAGTAACAAGAAAACTAAACAAAAATGCATGCTTAATTTACTGTAATAATAACTACTACTGCTTTGTAAAAGAAAATGAAATGAGGCTGAAAATATCAAATAAAGGACACATACGTTTCAGATTTACAAAGCACATACTCTCTATAATAGGAGACGCACCTTAAAGATGGCAGCATCTTCATCATGTCGAAAGTCCTGTTTCCCTGCGTGTTTCCATGGGATTCGGAAGCAAGTTTTTTCTTCATCATCCCACATTAGTCCAGGATACTTTCCACTGTCAACTTGCTCTACTAGCCATGGTTTGAGCTTCCGTGCACAACGAGCCTCACCTTTGGCCATCTAAAAGTCACCCAGCAAAGTGTTTTACTCAGATTACACACAACATCATGTAGAAGAGCTGTTATCAGAACAATGTTTTCATGTGGTTGCCTTTGTAAATGAAACCAGCCCATCAATAAAAAAACAAACAAAAAGTAGAACACTGCTAAGTAGTAAGAGACTGAATGACTGACTAACTGCAAGTTAAAATAGTATACGGTGCAAAAGATCCTTTTGTTGGTTGGTTCTCAAACTAAGCTAGGAGTTACAAGGCACTTCTAGTCTCCAAAGGACATAAACTTCCATTGATAAATGAGAAGATTCATACATTTAGGTGCCAGTCGCAATTTCCTAGACTACCTGGCTCTGTGAATCTGTGCTGCCCTAATTTAAATGTTATTATATTTTATCTTATTTGTTGAAACATACTTGCTAGGAAAAAAGCTTTGGTTCTAAGTTGTATTTTATTCCTCTGATCTGCCCACTATACCTATTAGTAAAGAGTAATCCCTCCACTCAATCTGCCACTTCAGCCTGAAAGTCCTAGTACCCAGGTAGTACCTTCACATGACTTAGCAAGCTCCCCCCAGCCTGATCACATGTAGCAGTTCTTCGGCCTGGTAATTGGACACAGTGCGGCACAGAAGCACTCTCTTTTTGGGCATGGGGAGGCTGAAGCAGAGAAATGAACTGGCAAGAAAGCAGGGACACGTTGGGGCATGGTGCCTGTAACAAAGCCGTGTTGTGTGCACGGTTAGAGTGTCATACAAAAATCAGAACATGCACAGGGTTATTCACAAAAGGGTGCAGAGTTTGGAGAAGACAGGAGAAGTGAACAATCTAGGCCACCATAGGTGATTTAGAAGAATTCTCCAATTCCGGTCACTTTCCAGTTCAGCTATGTTGTCCTAGATTGTTCACTTCTCCTGCCTTCTCCAAACTCTGCACCCTTTTGTGAATAACCCTGTCAATATTGTTACTTGATGAATGTCTTTCCAAATTTCATAAATATTCAATTCTGGAAATGAATAGAATTTCCCAAATGGCGACCATATTCTCTATTAGAACTTCTTTCCTTCAAGAAAAATTTTCATCCTGCACCTTTTCCGTCACTACAGTAGAAATTGATGGTCAATTAGGCCCCATTAACTATTAGAAAATAATAAACAAATGTTCTGAAAATGACTTTTTTTAAACAAAGTTCTAACTGTATAAGCAGCTTTAATGGAGTTTTTTTTTTTAAGGCAGTCACAACTTAAAATAAATCTTCACACACTGAAAAACATCACAGCACACATACGCAAAGCCAGAGTTACATTATTATGATCAATTACATTACATTCATATCATGTTATGAAAATTGCTGTGTTAATTGTGTGAGGCATAACGTTATGGACAGACTTACTTTGAGCTATTTGGGGGGGAGGTGCCATGTATAGTACGGGAGCTGCTATTGGTATTCCATAACACACATTGACAGTGACAGGGGTTGAGGTGCAGCATAAAAATGTTAAGAACCCAGTTAAAAAATGTATTAACCCCTGCAGCATGGGATAAGTGCTTGTTTTTTTTTACCTAAAAAAAATTGCAATGTTATACTCACCCGATCCTCAGAGCTGGCTTACACTTAGACTAGTCCCTGGATCCTCTCTTCCCCTTAACTGCAGTGGTCTAAGGTCCCTGAGCCATCACGTTCTATACACTGTGTACAGGACATGAGGACACTGAGGGACATTCCGTCACTGCAGCAGGGGAGGAGACAGGGAGGAGGGAGCACTTTCACCGCTGGCCAGCTCGGAGGATCGGGTGATTGTAACTTTGTTATTTTGGACCATGGGTAAAAACGAGCACTTAACAACCCTTGCAGTGCAAGGGTTAATAACATTTTTATCTAGAGACTGTGTTTAAGAGTGCTTACAAAGGTGGCTTGTATTCTCATGGCATTTTTTTTTTTTAAACTTTTGCTGCAACTGCTCAAGCACCACCTTCAGTGTTATAGTTTGTCCCACTCACTGTCATTGTTGCTACTTCTGGACAGCTTGGACTGCATGTAAACGTAGAGAAAAATGATAAAGAAAGGATTTGGATAATTAATACTATCATTCCATTTATTAACAACATGCAGTTACCACAATATAATATGTTTCTAGACAGTCATCCCTTTAGGGTGCAGCACACCTCTGTAATGCATGTTTAAGATGTGATTGGTTAGGTGCCATTATACCTACCGGAACTGTTCTGATTTTCACATTATTGACACGTGCAGTTTGTACAATTATATTAGCCACATTAAAGTTGAGCTTGGATTGAAAATATGGGGTTACATTGGAATTAAGAGTAATGGGCATGAAAGACATTAAAAATGAAACATACACTTTCATGTGCTTTTTAAAGTGGTGACAAACATGATTTTATTAACAACATGGGTGTCTTTACCTTTAAAAAAACAATGGGCCAAAAAATGAATAATGTATACCGTTTAAGATAGATATAAGAAAACTAAACCTGAGGCAGAAAATGGGAGCTGCCACTGCTGACTGCAGTCTGAAAAAGTCTGAACTAACCTCACACTTATTCTAGGTCAATGACACTACAAGGTGAAGCCCAGATTGAAATGACGGGCCCTGGACCTTTAAAAAAACAAGTTTAGAAATGACACATTGCCATGCAGGTCAACCTCCCACCCCTACTGCATATAGTACCTTCCTCCAGGACTTCGCCTAAAAATACTGAAGCCAGAGACAACCAGGCAACTCGTTTTGGAGAGGATGTGGAAGGGTTTAAACCTCAGATTTACGTAGCTGTCTATGTCACCATTGGGGACATTCACAGGGTTATTTACAAAAGGGTGAAGAGTTTGGAGAAGGCAGGAGAAGTGAACAATATAGGACAACATAGTGGGACAGGAAAGTGAGCTGAATTGGAGAATTTTGCAAATCAGCTATGTTGTCCTAGATTGTTAACTTCTCCTGCCTTCTCCAAACTTTGTGTCATGATGACCTTTGAAAATCCAAAATTTTGAGTTGTCACTGAAACAGTAAACAGAGGGAATCTTCCATTGGGGACAGTGGTTCCAATAACCACTGTGTAAAGTTGGGTCCTGCGAGAGGTCCCCAGGGGTTTACCACTGTAGCTGGCACAGTAAGGTGAGGAGAGGATGTGATATATCTGGAAGGAAGGTGGTGGCTGGGCTGGTGGAGACAGAGAGAAACCAGGAGGAATGTGTAGGCGGCTGACACAGTGAGAACAGGAGGTGGGGAATCCATTGTGGAATGTAGAAGCTGGGGGTTTTCACATGCAGGGGTGAGCAGCATGGTGCAGGTCTTTGCTCCTGTAATGTCTGTAATGGGGGCTTTGTAATTACTGAATATTGAAAAGAAGAGCTCTGTGCCCATTATATATCATCTGTACAACCTCCCAGCACAGAACCTAAAGCTGGCCATGCACTTGTTGAATTTTGAAATTTGAGCAGTGTGTGGCCCCCTCAGGACTGCCCATCCTCATTCAACAAAAGTACATTTTTCAATTAAACCTGATGGCACAGATCCAAAACTTTTCGGCTGAACATTGACTGCAGCCAATCAGCTGTTATTCAGACAGCGGCTCACCTGTCACTGTCAGAATACAATAGCCTGGTGGGGAAGATAATTCCCCCATTCATATTATTTAGCATGGATGGGGGAAGATTTCAGTGTACAGCCAGCTTAAGAGGGAAGATAGGGGACCAGGAAGACAATAATAACTGTAGAGGATTAACTATGGGGAGGTTACTAGCCAACAAGTAAACAGAATGACATATCATTGTTTGTGTTATACTTATTTAAAGAGTATTGTTATTATTATAAGCACAATAGAAAGGAAAACATGCTGCCTGAGATCTCTATTATTTACCTCCTTTATTTCTGTGTACACACATATGTAACATACACACCAGTATTTTTAGCCATTGCAAACAAAAATGCACATGTGTATTTCCCACCAAATTCAATATCTATGCAGCAAAAAAAAAAAAAACTTTCTCATTAAAATGGTGAATGTTTTATTCATTGTTTTATTTATTATTATATCTGCAACTCTCTGATTGTGTTAATGTACCATGAGCTGTAGATCTCAATATTATTTCAGTTTGTTCAAAGGTTTTTCAGTAGTGAACAGGTAGAAAAAGGCTCATCCAGAGGCCAAAAGCTGCGGTTACTCATCATGATATCTCACTGCCTATGTGCAAGGATTTTACTTTTAATACATTATTGTTTTCATGACATTAAAGTGACACTAAACTCAGGAGTTCAATCTTAAAAATACATTCAAGTACCTTCACTATTAACAAAAATGTATCTTATTTGTGTGTCACTGTGTAATCAGTTTCTCAATGTCATTCTCAAAGCTTAAAGGAGAACTATGAGGTGAGTGATTTTCACTCACCTCATAGTTCTAGCCGACCTGTGACAATGAGACTGTCACAGGTCGGCTCAGTAGATCGGGAGGTGAGCGAAAACATACCGGAGTTTCCCCCTCCCCGCTCTGATCTGCCAGCGCTGACTGGCGGAACGGACGGGGGAGGGGGCGGGTACAGCTGGCTCTGCCTCTAGATAGGCAGAGCCAGCTGTTACTCACGCAGCTGGGCGGATCTCGACATCGATGTCGGGATCCGCTCCGGCGTCTCAGTGTACCGCGAGCTGTAGCTCGCGGTATACTGAGCCTAGGGTGACGGGAGGACGCTAGTTTGTGTCCTCCCATTACCCTAAGGAGAACTATGGGGAAAAGCCCTAACCTAGTTCTCCTTTAACCCCATAGTTCTCCTTTAACTGAGGCCTTGTTCACACCAAATGGAGACCAGATCTGCATGAGTTTCTGCACACACAGTGCAGTGTGTTATGCTGCGTTTTTGATGCGTTCCAGGGCCAATTTTTCCAGTCATTTATGAACAGAACCTGAAAACTAGCTCAGTCATGAAGGGGTTAAAATGGGCCTTTAGTGCGTTCCAGGTGTTCCAGGCGTTTGCATGTGTTTTGATGCGTTCC